ATGGCCTTAATCCAATATAAATGGTGTTCTAGAGATTAGGACACCATTGATATAGACACACACAGGAGGAAGATTACGTGAAGACAAGAGAAGATGGCTATCTGTAACCAATGAGAGAGCTCTGAGAAAATGTTTCAGTTCTAGCAAAGTGTACTTTCTGTATTCTATGTTTAGTGTGCCAAATGTGTGGTAATCAGCAAGGTATGCCACTGCATATGGCCCCAAATAGCCATGGCTTCTCCTTAACTACAGGGCAATCCACTTCTATGTACTTATGAAAGGTACAGTGGAAAGAGAAAAAATAACAACAATGTTTAGCTTTGCATAGTTCTTGTTCTGTGAATATATACCCAACTGAAAGAAGAGATTTGGAATATTTGACATAGAGATGGGATTGCTAAGATAAGATAAGGAGAAGAAAAAAAGCAAGTAATAGCGGTTATACCCCATCATTCCCATTTTTCTCTTCTAACATATTACAATTTGCTATTGATTTTTATTTGCTTGGTTTTTGTCTGGTTTACTTATTATAGTCTTACAAGAGCGAGGACTGTCTATGTAACTCACAAATGTATTCCAGAAGCTCATTCAGCAACTGCTAAATAAATGACACTCTAATATTTCTTTAATGAATAAAAGAAGGAAAAATAAAAGCAGAAGTATAGATCCTTATTCTTACATGTAAGATACTATTGAGAATATACAATCCATAAGTCAATTTCCTCCCCTCAGGTATCCTAATCAGAGAAAAATGAATACCAGATAGCTAAAAGGATTCAAGAGTCCTGAATGAAGAGACACTGTATGCCTCAGAAGCTCAGAGGGAGAAGAGTAAATGGGGTAAAAACTGAAGTTATTAAGGATATGTAGAAAAAGCTAACCAAAAAAAGAGATAAGAAAAACACTAGCATTCTTTAGCATCAACCTCTGAATACTTTTCATACTGCAAAACCATCAGTTTTTCTAATATTTAATTTCATGTCAAAGCACGGCTGTCACAGTGAGTGTTATGCTTTCAATGCTCTCTGTGAAACCAGGGGTCAGCAGGAAGTCTACCAGGCACTTCAGTGATGACCACCTGCAAGACCCTCCAGGATATCACTGAACTCCTGGCCTCTGTGAGTCTATTAGCCCATCTGATGAAAAGGAGGAATCTCAGGGCACCTAGAGCTCTGAAGTATGTTGTTCCTGTCCCCTCAGGCTGACTGGAGTGCCCATCTGCCTTGGTTTTCAACAACTGCAAAGAAGCCCAGCATGCAGGGAATGAAATATCTACTGGGTAAGGGGGACTGTCAATTCTTAAAATGTCTGTCAGTTAGTACAATCGCCTCTAAGGATCTGAGGTAATTTTTATGCATCATGGCAAAATATTTCCACCCTAAGTCCAAACATTTGGCAACTTCCTACAGAGTATAATTCAGTATCATTAAGTTTGATGACTTCCTAATTTTATCCACATTTTTAGATGATTATCACAGACTTTTCATTCCTGGTGGCTGCTTCTTGCCAGATTTTCAGTTTAAAAAGAATAGAGCAATATGTATGAATCCCAGTATAGAGATTATGTATTATAAATTTTTTCAGTAAATATGATTAAAATAAGAAATATTTAATAAGTTAAATGTCTATACTTCTATGTAATGAATAGCACTGCCAAAATAACAGTTTTAACAGTAGTTTTTAGGGAACACTAGTAAATCATATTTTTCTGCTACTTTGCTATCTCTGAAAAATTAAATTTATGCTTCCTCAAGCTGAATAAAACAGTGAAAAAATACACCAGTCTACTGAAGAATAGCTCATCCAGGAAGGACATAATTGCTTTAATACATTCAGAAAATTTCTAGAGTCATCAAGAAATTTTTTTAAAACTTTGCTTTCAAATATCTGAAACAAATTAGTACATATTCCAAAAAATTAATGAATAAGAGGAGAAATGCCCCAGGATCAACTAAAAATTTATTAAGTATGTTGTTAATCTTATCAAGAATATGTTTTTAGGTTCTTATAAGTAAGACTCCAGGATCCTTGGAGGAGCCATCCGCTATTTTGATGTCTTTCCTAGAATGCTCTAGAAATTCTAATTGCTCCACAGGAGCCCTAGTTCTATCTGTGCCTACAGAGGAATGATGGCTTCTGGAAAGTTCCCTAAAGTTCATCCTGACAGTTTCAAGATGACTGCATGATGATGCAAATGCCAAAGACATTCTGTTTTCCCTACATGTGATAAAATTTTACAGTTGGTTGGGCTTGCCAACTGTCAAACAAAAATTATATTTATTAAATGGTTTTATATGGCTGGAATAATGTTACTTATGAGTGACCAGTACAGATAGGGGGCAGCTTCTACAAGGCTTGCAGTCCAAAAGAGATGGTGTATATTGAACAATGAGTTCAAATGTGATGCATGTTAACAAGGGGAAGGAGAAGTTACTATGGGAGATGATAGTGAAGTGACTGGACTACTATTAAATCACTCCAGTGAAGGGAAAGGTTTCCTTGAGGAAGAAAAATGAGCTGAAGTTACTTTGGAAAAGAAATGATACAGTGAAGAAAGAAGGATGTTGAGGAGAGTGAACCAGCATATGATCCAAGGCTATTGGAGAAAATGAACAAATCTGTGACTGTTCACCAGCAGACAGTGGATCAGTATTCAGTACCTTAAGAGAACAGAACTTGTATCATTCTTTCGAAGTCTTTCTAAAGGAGTACAAAATAGAAGCCTCAGTTTCATCTATCACTACTGTTTTGGAAATCACTGGAATAAGACACAGTGATGACTGGAATAAAGTGGCAGAGTCTGCGCCGAGATCATGACCATGTGTTACTATTCCTTCTTAGGAACAGAATGTGGCATAGGCAACCCAACAAAAGCCTAACCCCACCCCATTCCCAAGACAACAGCTCTCACCCAAATGCCATCACAACCCCGCCTACTCACTGCCTCAATGAAAGTTGGCAATCTTAATACCTTTCAAGACACTTCAGATTTTTTGAGTAAATACTACCAAAATGATTACTTCTCCAACACCATTTTATTTCCACTGAATTAAAAGTCAAATTTCATCAAACAGCATTTTAAAAAATTTTACATTTTATACAGGAGAAGCTTCTTTAGAGATTGCCTTAACTATATGCCTGAAACACAGAATCAGAGAGATGACTTGCTAAAGATTACAAAGCTAGTCAGAATCAGAGATGGAACTAAAATCTTGATAGCTATTTGGGTGATCTTTTCTTGAATACATGTAGTTTTGAAGATATTTATATATTGTTACATCTCCAGCAAATATGAAAACCTTGGAATACAGATGAACAATCATAAATAAGCAATTAATATTTGTCATATTATTAATCATAATTTTGGTATGTAACAACTGTCAGTTTTTAACATAGTGAGACTGATCTTGGTATTAAAAGTAATCATAAAATAGTGGGTTTGAGTCACAAATTTGCAGTAACTATGGACTACAAGAACCTAACAGCTTATCATTACAGCAAAATATATTTAAATATGACTCAAAGAAGGACTCAGTGACAATAACCATAGGTTTTCCAAGTGCATTTTGACCTGCAAGCTCTGCAGCTTCTTTATCTATTTAGGTGATATATGCAAACAATGCATGTGCACAAACAAAGAGCAAAGAAACCTTCCCATCACAGCACTTTAACACATTTGCTCTCCCTTAAAGTGTGCACAGGCATTTCATGCAAACGCTACTAGGAAAATACCATGTAGGAAGACTTTATTGACTAAAGGCAAATTCAGATGTCCATCAAGGAAAGGCCACAGACACCCTTTCTGCTCTGTGTTAGCACAGCCACCCCCATCCCTTGGACAGAATTTACATACTTTGAGTCTTATGCAAGAAACATAATCAAAACCTTTAACTCCCCTACATCTCTTCTTTTTCATCCAAGTAAGCTGTTGTAGAGTAACATGGTGGACGTAATCAAAAGAGTAACTCATTCTATCTGCATGAAAGGCTATTTTGCTCACTTAGCAACAATGAACCACAGCCAGCTTTAAAATGAAACACTTCCCCTCCCAAATCCCATCACACACACACACACACACACACCAAGAAAAGATTCAACACTTGGATTTTTTTCATTCTCTCAAAAAAACTGGGGTCAGCAAACATGAGCATCTTTTACATTCTGCATATTCAGAGTAAGTATCCAACGCGACTTGCCATGATAACTAAATTTATTATTAACTGTGTATTTCATGATGTTAGTGACAATATGTTAATGTGATTTTTCACGTCCTCCTGCAGTGAACAGATGGCTCCTTTTACTTTACTTTCCACATCAAGTGTGATTATTTCTTGGTGCCAAAAGCCACCTGCCGCTCCTCGGTCTCCAGTCTAATTTTTTATGTTGGTAAAACACAGCAGGACTTGTTATCAGTTGGATGGCATCTTAATAAAAGGAGACATGCCAACATATTGACATCATGTTCAAGGGGAAATTTCAGCCCCTTCAAACCCCTAACCCCTTTTCCCACCCCCTTTCAAAGAGTGAGGGAAGAAAACAAACAAACAAATTAATTAATTAATTAATTAAATCCAAAGATCCCATCAGTTTCAAGATGTTTGATTACAATTGTTGGGCCTTGAGCCAAGATGCTGATTTGGCCTCTCTTTGTTCCTAAAACCAAGCACCTCACTCAGAGCTCTGATCTTTCATCCTGTGTAATGATAATTAGCTGTAACATATTCCAAAGTCAAGTGTAAGCAGGAATACATTAACATTGAGATCAGTGTCAGGGCAATTTTCATTGGGAAAATGACAAAGAACACATGCAAACACACATATACACTCAAAAATTTCAAGAGTTGAACATTCATAAAATCACTTTCAGACCTGAGAATATTTAGCTCATTGGCTTGTTGGTCATGAGTGCTTACCTCGAATGCTATGGCCTCCTAATGTGGAAGCAGTGACTCCCACAGCCCATGCCTAACAGAGAAAACATGAGTAATACATCACAGTACCTTTAATTTTTCCATTCTTCATTAGAACAAAGAGGAATAGTACGTTAGATGATTTGTGGTCCAAGAAGAGGTCTTCCAGCCAATTGGATAGCATGGCTCTCAACAGCTGGTCCAGCACATTTGGGAACAGCACGTAGAAAAATGCATCAGTGTTTTGAAGATTACCAACTGTGATGATTCATTGGTTATGACACAGTCTCAAACAGTCAAATTTCCTAGGCACAACCTATAAAAATGAATGCCTTTACAACTAGGCTGCATACACTTAAATTCAAAAATAATGGTGCTGGCCGGGAATTTAGCTCAGTGGTCCCGACACCTGCCTCACAAGCACAAGGTCCCCAGTTCGATCCCTGGTACCAAAAAAAAAAAAATAGTAATAATGGTGAAATCAAAACTTTCCCACTGATTCCCAATCTTGAGACTTAAAAAAGTGGTGACATTATTAGATATTTGAAATTTCTGGTTGAAAGCCAAGGAGTTAAATATGCAGCTGATTTCCTAGGATTTACAAAGTTTATAAAAGGCAAAAGAAAATGCCTACAATTAAAGTACAAATAATTAATGGTTTCCTTGGGATGAACAACTGTAACTGGATTACTGTAGAATTTTTAAATCAATGTAAACTTGGCAGTTACAGTTTTATGTCTTCCAACTATCTATCCAAACAAAGGACCCCATATGGAATAGATTTCTACTAAAGTTGCTTGCAGATTGGTCAGCTTGGGAGGTGGGAGTGTTTGCAGATTGACCAGTGCTGGATTTTTAACCTAGGGCCTCTGCACTTAGTTACATTCCAGCACCTTTTATTTTTGTTTGAGACAGGCTCTCACTTACTTGTCCAGGCAGGACTTGAACTTATGATCCTCCTGTCTTAGCCTTCCAAGTGGTAGGATTGCAGGACTGCACCACCATACCTGGCTTTATTGGCTTTTTATCAGTAGTATATTTTAGCAGCTGCTGTAGTTTACACATTGACTTATCCCTCAAAGATCCATGTGTTAAAGATCAGTCCTAGAGGCAATGGAATCTCTAGAAGGTGGGGTCCAGTGGGAAGTCCTTTGATCTCTGTGGCTTATGCATCATGAGATCTTGGCTTCTTCCTTTTTCCTCTTGTTTGCTGGTCATGAAGGGAGCAGTTTGCTGTCACATGCTACCTACCATTCCACCCAGCAAAGGCCCAAAACAATAAGTCCATCTAGCAATGGACTGGGGTTGCCAAAATAAATATTTTTTTCTCTTTATAAGTTAATTATTTTAGTTATTTTATCCTAGTGACAGAAAACTGACTAATATACTAACATTTTATATGAAAACTTGGAAGCACATAGAAAATTTGAAAGAACTTTATCCTAAAACCATTGTATCTACCATTTAGATTACACAATTAACATTTTATTTTAACTTTGTTATATCTTTCCATCTACCTATCCTTTTATCTATTCATCAGTCCACTGGAACAGATTAAACTATAAACTCAATAACAAATAGTCTATCCAGAAAAGGAAAATTAGAATTATTTTGACTTTATCAAAATCATTTAATAAAATGAGCAACATATAGTGGTATTCATTATTCAAAAAATATTTCTTGCCTTTCTGGTTTTTGGGTCACACTGAAAATGCAAAACTGAATAAAACAGCACAGGCCACTATTCTCATTGAACTTACAATGTAGTGGGCTTGGCAAAGAAAAAAAAATGCTCAATAAATGGCTCTCTAAAACATAATATGTACAAGCGATATGTCAATAAAGATTTAGCAAATTTAGCTGTCACTGTTCTTAAAGGTTGTAATAATAACAAATGGATATTTTATGCACTGCAATATTACTGCTTGTAATAAAGCCCATATGTAGTAATCTCTGAAAGTATATTTGCCAAATTACTAAACAAATGAATATAGGAATGCAAAAATATGTAGCACTTAACCAGGTAGAATTCACAATGTATGACATTTAATTGAAAGTTCTCAGGCTTGCAAAGATGCAGGGAAATATCACCCATAAAAAGGAGATAATCAATCAAATTTGAACTGGAACTGATACTGATATTAGAATTAGCAGAAAATGAAGTAAGAGGTTATTCTAACTTTATTCCATGTATTCAAAAATTTAAATAGATATTTTAAAGACCCCAATTGAATTCTAGGAATTAAAATCTATAAAGTGTGATGTGAAAATTACATCAGATGTATTAACAGCAGATTAGATATTGAAAAAGAAAAGATTAGAGAAATTGAAGACATAGCAATTAGAAACTGTCTACTATCAAGCATGGAGAGAAAAGATAATTATAATGGAAAGAGCATCAGCAAGCTTGTACAAGAACTCCAATATGCTTAAATTAAGTTCTTAAAGGACAGAATAGAGAATAAAACATATTTGAAGAAATAATAGCCAAAATTTGCCAAATTTAATAAAATCTGTAAACCTACAGATTCAAGTAACTCAGTGAACACAAGTCCAGAAAAAATACCACAGAAAATCATATCATAATAAAACTGATCAAAACTACTGATAAAGAGAAAAATCCTAGAGGCAAATAAAATAAGCATATTAAAATTAAGTTATGATAACAAGGCCGGGGATTTAGCTCAGTGGTTTCGTCGCCTGCTGTACAAGCGCAAGGAATGGAGTTCGATCCCCGGTACCAAAAAAAAAAAAACAACAACAAACTTATGATAACAAAACTCCCACCAGAAACAGCAACAGCAAAGATCCTTTCAAAAAAAAACTTTTAAAAAAAGAGACAAAAGGGGCCGGGGATTAGCTCAGTGGTTTTGCCGCCTGCTGCGCAAGCGCAAGGACACAAGTTCGATCCCTGGTACCAAAAAAAAAAAAAAAGAGAGAGAGAGGCAAAAAGTCAACTAGTATGCTTTATCAAGAAAAATAGCTTTCGGTATTAGGATAAAATACAGATGTTTAAAAGTTGTAAGAATTCAACCCCAGTACATCTGCACTACAGGAAATGTTGAAGGCTATCTTAGGCAGAAAGGAATTGATAAGAGAAATATATATCCACTCAAAACACTGAAGAGCAAGGCAGTTGTAATTACATGGGTAAATGTATGATTTATTTTAACATAAATCACCTCGAAAGGTCCTGGAGTGGCTGGAGGTTGCGCTTGGGCCGAAGGAGAGCCTTGGGTGGGAAGAGGGAACAAAGCCTGGCTTCCTGTTGGGGGCAAAGGTCGCCTGGAACACCTGCGTCAACAAAGGCAGCCACGGCGCCTGCGCCTTGCGTTCCTACCCTCAACACCACTATCACCCGTGAAAGCCCGTCTAGAGACTGGTTTCATGGCCGCTCCGAAGAAGGCGGCGGTGGGACCCTTAGTGGGGGCAGTGGTGCAGGGCACCAACTCCACTCGATTTTTGGTTTTCAAAGCAAAAACAGCAGAACTACTTAGTCATCATCAAGTGGAATTAACACAAGAGTTCCCAAAAGAAGGATGGGTGGAACAGGACCCGAAGGAAATTCTTCAGTCTGTCTATGAGTGCATAGAGAGAACTTGTGAGAAACTTGACAAAGAAAATATTGATATATCCAACATAAAAGCTATAGGTGTCAGCAACCAGAGGGAAACCACTGTCGTCTGGGACAGGTTAACTGGACAGCCTCTCTACAATGCCGTGGCTTGGCTTGATCTAAGAACCCAGTCTACCGTTGAGGTTCTTAGTAAAAAAATTCCTGGAAATAATAACTTCGTCAAGTCTAAGACTGGCCTTCCACTTAGCACTTACTTCAGTGCTGTAAAACTTCGTTGGTTGCTTGACAATGAGAGGAAAGTCCAAAAAGCTGTGGAAGAAGGTCGAGCTCTTTTTGGTACCATTGATTCTTGGCTTATCTGGAGCATGACAGGCGGAGTAAATGGAGGTGTCCATGGTACAGACGTAACAAATGCAAGTAGGACAATGCTTTTCAACATTCATTCTTTGGAATGGGATAAAGAGCTCTGTGACTTTTTTGAAATTCCGATGAACATTCTTCCAAATGTCTGGAGTTGTTCTGAGATCTATGGCCCAATGCAAGGTGGGGCTTTGAAAGGTGTCCCAATATCTGGGTGTTTGGGAGACCAATCTGCTGCATTAGTAGGACAAATGTGCTTCCAGGAAGGACAAGCCAAAAACACATATGGAACAGGCTGTTTCTTACTATGTAATACAGGTCATAAGTGTGTATTTTCTGGACATGGCCTTCTGACCACAGTGGCTTACAAACTAGGCAAAGACAAACCAGTGTATTATGCATTGGAAGGTTCTGTTGCTATAGCTGGTGCTGTTATTCGTTGGCTAAAAGACAACCTTGGTATTATAAAGACCTCAGAAGAAATTGAAAAACTAGCTAAAGAAGTAGGTACTTCTTATGGCTGCTACTTTGTCCCAGCTTTTTCAGGGTTGTATGCACCTTACTGGGACCCCAGTGCAAGAGGAATAATCTGTGGTCTCACTCAGTTTACCAATAAATGTCATATTGCTTTTGCTGCATTAGAAGCTGTTTGTTTCCAAACACGAGAGATTTTGGATGCCATGAACCGTGACTGTGGAATTCCACTCCGTCATTTACAGGTAGATGGAAACATGACCAACAACAAAATTCTTATGCAACTACAAGCAGATATTCTACATATTCCAGTAATTAGGTCTTCTATGCCTGAAACAACAGCACTGGGAGCTGCCATGGCTGCAGGAGCTGCAAAAGGAGTAGGTGTTTGGAGTCTTAAACAGGAGGATTTGTCAGGAATCACAATGGAATGGATTGAACCACAGAGCCAGGCCGCAGAAAGTGAAATCCATTATCGTACATGGAAGAGAGCTGTGATGAAGACAATGGGTTGGGTTTCAACTCAGTCTCCTGAAAACAAGGAACTTGCTATCTTCTCTAGTCTGCCCTTGGGCTTTTTTATAGTGAGTAGCATGATCATATTAATTGGAGCAAGATACATCTCAGGCTTGCCCTAATAATTTCAACTCATGGACTTGCAAAAAGTGAGCTTTTTACATAATAAAAGAATCCAGCAATTCTGTCTTTCAATATGATAATGCTATTAGAGACTTTGGTTTTATTTATAGACCATTTATTGCATGATCCATGAGAAGTAGACCCAT